GGCCATTCCCCGTCAAACACCATCCGAATGGCGGCTCACTTCCCTGCGACTCCCAACAAAATCCCCTCCAACCAAGAATGTTTTACCTCTGACTCCACCCTTTCACTGAATTACAGGGTCTGACCAGGATATGACGCTTCTCTTTAGATCTTAATGTCCACAAATCATGACAGAAAGAATAGTTTAGTACAAATATTGATGTTTAAAAAGGAATTTAGGGGACCAGCCAAGGGCCAACATGGAAATTGGGGAAATTATTAATGGCTTCTACTGTATTGCTCAGAGGTCACAGATTAGAGGACCGCGGCCCGAATCCGGACCGACCTGCTGGCTAATCCGGACCCAACCTGATTTAAAACATTTATAAATTACTGCATGTTGATAGACAGCGGTGTCTAATTTCCCTTGCGCCGCTTCTCCTGTTAATACGGTAAAGCCTTCCGGGTCGTTCACTTCAGGTATTTTATAAAATATTTAAATCAGGAAATTTGTCTATAAATCAAACTGAACGATCGTTGCTCTCTACTAAACTAAAAAACACTAGATTTTTATATGGAAAAATGTTCTGTGTTTTATTATTTTTTTTGTTGAAAATTAAATGGAAGCATTAAAACCTCTTTATATCTCAGTGTTAAATTCTGTTTAAAGTAACAGATTATAATTATAAATGTCTCTGGACCTTTACTGGTTGATGATTTTCTTTATTCTGACCCTGCTGATCTTTAATTGGTTACCCCTGCTTTAGCTGCTTATCATGTAGTACTAATAATGGTTTGGAGATTTTAGAGGAGCTTTGTTTTCTGACACTACAGGCAGAGTGAAACAACTTCAGCACAAACTTAAGTTTTGAAGTTAAGATATTTGCAGGTTTATGTGAGTAAATGTGTGAAACTACAGCAGGTCACAAGTAGCTCAGTATTGCAGGGGATAGTATTAAAACAAAACCTTGTTTTTGAAGTACTGTAAGTCATTTTATTTCATTTTTATTGTGAAAACTAAGTGAGAAAATAATTGATTTACATTGCTCCGATAGCTAGGAATAAATCTGAGATCATATTTTTATGCCATATGGTTCAGTCCTAGGCATACGTTAAGTTAGCCTAAGTTATGGCTGCTATCCTGACACTCTGGGGGCATTTAATAATGCAGATATGAAAGCTTTTATTGCAGATGTTTGTGATGTCTCTGCCACTCAGTCTGTGTTTACTGTCAGTGTGAACAGGTGAACACATGCTGTTACCTTCCATTTGGCTGAGGCTCTTTGTCCTACAGCCCAAGACACTTACAGACAGAAAGGATTTTGGTGTGAGCGCCCCGCTAGGATAATGGTAGATGAAAGGATTCTGTTGGGATATAACAACCATCAGAAAATCACATTTCACTATTAGACACATTAACAGTACAATATCCTGTACCTCTAAAATTCCCCGACATATTTAACTACTGAGGTCAAGACTTTCATTGTTGGGTTCTCTACTTCTTTTTGTGACTTTAAATAACTTTTCAATTAATGTTATATTCAGTGTTTCTATAAACAGACAGAAATTCAAAGATGGGAAATACTTTTATTTGTTGAATTACTAAATAGAATAATTATTAGTATTATTGAATTACTAAAATAGAATAGAATAGAAAATCCCTTTATTGTCCCACAATGGGAAAATTCTGGTGTTTACAGCAGCAAGAAGATAATAGAAAACGCTCACAATATATATATATATATATATATATATATATATATATATATATATATATATATATCAGATCTTTTATGAGAAGTAATGATTAATATAGGAATACCACCTACTTCTATTACAGGGTTCCAACGGGTCATTAAAAATAATTAAAAGCCATTAAATTATAATTTTTTTAAATTAAGGCCTTAATTGGCATTTAAATTCATTATTTATTATGATTATTGTGGCATTTAAAATGCTTTATTTAAAAAAAAATATATATTTCTAAAGACAATTTCTTCAGATATATCAGATATAACTGGTTTTGAGTGTTTGTGCGAAACTGCTTCCAGTTGATCGTAAAGCCATATGTTCGGAAAAGAAGCTCAAGGCGGAGAAAAAGCTAGACAATGGGGAAATGCAAACTTCAACTAAAGTGGCTGGAAAACGAGGAATCCGGGACATGGCTGCAGCCTTGTTGATGGCATTAAAATTAGCATTAAAAGAGCATTACAAAGCATTCAATTAGAGTTACTCAGTCCTGTATAAACTTTGTATTAAAAACTGTCTTGATATAAATGTTACTACTTATATGAAACTGTCTTCTGGGTGTACAAGGACTTAATAACAGAGATTAAACCTGTTTCCACAACAGTTCACAGAGAGGGGACATGTCCTCACATCACCTCTCAAATGACATCTAAATCAGGACAAAGAAAGGGGGGGAGGGGTACGTGCGGTGGGTTTCAATAAAGCAGGCCTCACGTGGCTACATAAAATAGCCTGTGGGATGCAGACATGGCGAGAAGTAGACCTCGGATTAAGTGAAACAAGGACAAAGAGACAGGAGCGGTTAATGCTGATGAGCATTGAAAGGAAGGGGAAGAAAAAGGCAGAAAAGGTAAGAAAATGATTTGAGAATACGAAGGGAGGAAGAAAGGAATCCCAGTCGGATTGAAACCCTGTAAAAACATAAACACTGCTGACGCTGGTATTTTGACAATTAACACCTGATGCAACTGCAAAGAAATGCAGTGAGAACATATAACTATAATGCATGCTAACCTTCAGTGTTTCTCTAAGTACCTGGGTTTGCATAGCAGTGGTTTAAAGCCATGCGTGCGCCTTGTTCTGGTGAAGCATAAGTGTGATTTTGACAGGCCAGATGTGCCCAGGAGAAAAACACCAAACCTACACTGTTTGTCATTATGTGACAAAAACAGCCTTGTTTACTGGTGTAGCACCAGGTGAATAATTAAAAGCATGCAGATGGTGAAATGGGGGAAGATGGGAGTAAACACCTCTAAAAATCTGTAAAAACAAATCCCCGCAACATGCAGTTTCATTAGGGGAGCCGATAAACTGCGTTTAATATTCTCTTGCAAAAACGATCTGTCTATTCTAACCGCTGCATGTATATTCTCCTTTTCTCTCACTTTTATCACAGCTTAATAGAAAGTGTTGCATTTATTGTTTATATAACAGGATTAAATAATAAGCCATCTTTTTCTCTTCATTACCAGATTCTTCCTTTGCTAAAGCAGAGCCCTGTTTGCAGCTTCATAGTTTGACAATACCTACAGTCTTTTTCTAATATTCTTGTATAGATATGTGACAGAAAAGAATTTAGCTGTTTAAACCAAAAAGGTCGAGGTTCGTCAGACATCAGATAGCTCCTCTGCGTGTTTTTTTTCTGTTTTTTTTTATTTATTTATTTTTTTTTTTACAATTTGATGTGTTTCTGCAAGAATGGGAGAGAATTAATGAGACGCTACAAACATCCCTGATTAGATAAATACACAGTGTATGTGGGGTATGCTGCATCTCCAAGCATCAACACCCATAAACCAGCCTATTTATTATAATATACCTAAATCCACAAACATCACAATAAATGCTGGACTAAGTTTACATTTATAAGATATAAGAGGAGAATAAACACAGCATCATGGTTTTATTCATGTGGGAATAGTCGCTGTACTTCTGATAGCTGGGAAATAGTTCATTATTTGGTGTTTCAGTTGAAAAAATTGTTAAAACATTGATTAATCGGCATTTATTATCATGATGCCAAATTTACATGTTTGTCTTTTTCCTCATGCAGCTCAAGTCATTTCCATGAATAGCTCGATATTCTGCATTTCAAAGTTCCCTACAGATTCACTCCATTTATGGTTTTTTGAGCTATTTGTTTACCTTTAGGCTACAAAGCGGCTTGTGTATTGTGCTCATTGCAGTGACTGAAAGAACTGAGCTTCTGATTTTAATTGGTAACAGTGTTACTGGATCGGTGCTGTTATTTAGTGCATTAATTGGTCGATATGAGCGGCAGACTTGTTACTATTGACTAGACTGCTGTTGCTGCTGCTGGTGTTGCTGTGCATTTGGAGGAACACAAATTTTTTGTTACTATTGCTGATATTCTGACACACCGCTTGATTATGTAATAAAACATATACCAGCGGTAATAATCATACAATTTGGCCTTTCACTAATGCCTTTTATTAATTTTTCTGTCAAACACTCAGTTTTAGTAAAGCTCTGCCTGTTTGTTGTAAGCCTGTTAAATCTGGTGAATTCAATGCAACATATTTATTTAGAGACAAGGTGATGTTTAGATTGCACCAATTAAGGCACATAATAAATCAATTACCATTTTTCAGTGAATAGAAACTGTTTCTCAAACATTTTCTGTGTCAGGATATGTTTTAGAGGATATTTCAATTAAACTCCACTCTGCAGTGTCCTTTACTGAAGATTGATGGAATTGGTTTAAACATGGTTGCACATCGGTTTCCACTGCTGTTTATTTCATAGACTATGTCCAGATGGTATAAGTGTGGAAAAATCTCACTGTGGGGAACTGGCTGTAATTGACGGATTGGCTATTCCACAACATTTGGAAAAGGATCCTCTTTCTGTCATCTTTTTTTATCTAACGACAGTTATTTCGCCGTTTTGCAGATTTTATGGGCGCAGGTGTGTGTGTGGTTGGGTGTGGGTGTGTGTGTGGCTGCAACTTGAACTAATCCATCTAGCCAGTAGCTGAAAGATGCAGAGTGTGGCTGTCAGTGCTACATATGCTAATAGCTTGAAGCCTGTTTGGATAAAAAGAGAAAAGGCACATCCCTCTTGTCAGAGCAAGCGACGCGCGTTGATTCTTTAAGTTTCATTTATAGCTGGCAGACATTTCTACCTTTCCTATCCATTTCATATCTCTGCTGCTTCTTCTTCCTCGTAGGTTTATTAGTTTAATCTCGGAGCGAAGATTTCTTTATTGTCACTCAGGTTTAAAATTCTGTTTTTTCTCTCTTTTTTGGGTAGTGATGGAGCCCATGACGGTGACTACGTCAGTGGTTGGACCCGACGAGTTCGACCGCAATGCCCCACGGATCTGCGGTGTGTGCGGGGACAAGGCCACCGGCTTCCACTTCAACGCCATGACCTGTGAGGGCTGCAAGGGCTTCTTTAGGTGGGTTGATGCATTTTCATAGCCAACATAATCGACAGGCTGTCGTCCTAAGAGAAAACACCGCCCTTTGAATTAATTTTGAGGATCGCAAGTTTTCAAAGAGCTTTTTTTCTTTTTAGTTTTATTTATTTTAAAACTAACACCCAGTAAGGATTGGAACATGTATGCATCAAAAACAGAAATTGAAAAAAGGATGTTTAGCATTTCTTTTATCTAAAGTATTTAACAATCATTTTAATTTGTAGCAAAAGGCTTAAAGTAGTGACTCCATCACAAATAGGGTGGAATTGGACTGAAGGGCATTTAATTTAAATTAGATTAAATGATCCGGAATTTAAACTGAAGATATTAATAGCATTTAGATATATTTGGATTCAGTAAAGCTTGATGCTTTGAAATGACATGACATTTTAGTTGGCTTTAAGAAAATGAAATCTCTGCAGAGTTTATGATTACTGTTGCTAAGTAATGATCAGGATTTTTTCCAGTTGATACAAGGTTTCATTTTTTTCTGAGATATGGTTTGCTTTTGTTTTTTCCTTTTTGCCTTTCTTTCTAAGGACTCAATCCCATAAAATAAATGCAAGTTTTTATATTTAACAGCAATTAAATGCAAGATTTGTCTCACTTATAAAACAAACCATACAATTTATATTCAGCTGTAAACAGTTTATTTTATCAAAGCTCTTGTTCTCTGTTAAAGAGTGAAAAGTTAGACTTAGACTTTATTTATCCCTTCTGGGAAATTCTGGTTCCAGTAGCTTATATAGAGTACATGCCATTAAAGATAAAAACATGACAGATAATATAAAAAGAGTGTATATAGTAACAAAAAAGCATTAATAAAAAGGAAAAAAGATTTATTTTCCTGGGATATCTTTCCTTTAGATATAAAAATATCTGCTCATTAGAGAGCTAAGGGAAAAATACATAGACCTTGACTTGGGTTATTGCACCAACTATGCAGAAATGTTCTGCAGAGTTGGTGCATTGATGTTCATCATTTAGTAGTTTTAGTTTAGATCATATTAATGGCTATTTAATTTGTGTTAACAATCCAGAAATTAATGATTTATGATTCTTTTTTTTCTTTTTTTGTTACTTTACTGGTCTTGTCTTCTTGGACATGTGGCTGCTACCTGTACTTCATAGCTGTGTTTCACACTCACTAATGTATGGTTACAGTTTGAGGTGGGGGTTCATAATGACATCATCTCGTCCGACCACGTGAGGCTGCTCTCAGTGCTTTCAGAAACATCCATTATTCATTCAAGTCACTAATCCTCTCACTAACTGAGGCGGAAGAAAAAACATCAATTTTTTACTGAAAATCTGGTTTTAAAAACATTTTTGTAGACCATTTATCACCAGGTAACTAGATAGTTTTGAATACATTTTATTCCTCTTAGACTTCTGCAGAAGTAGGTGCTGTTTTCTGTGTAGTTACCGAACACATTTTGCACTCATTACAGACGCAGCATGAAACGTAAAGCCTCCTTCACCTGTCCTTTCAACGGGAGCTGCACCATCACTAAAGACAACCGGCGCCACTGCCAAGCCTGTCGTCTTAAACGCTGCATCGACATCGGCATGATGAAAGAATGTGAGTTTGGTGGCTTTTAAACACTTTGATACTCCAAAGGTACTATCGCTCCATATTAGCAGTTTGTTCATCGTTTCAACTGTGCTTCATGTTTGAAGTAATCCCAGAAGACTCCTGGATTATGAGAGGGGAGGTTGATCAAGACTCACTTAGCCGTTACTGCTGTGTGATGTAATTAACCACTGGAGACTTTGTGCTGAAGATGTTTTCAGAATCGGAGGTGGGGCTGTGAGGCGACATTATTCTAGCATACAGGAAACAGAACATGATAACAGGGGAGATTTGTTTCCTTTTTCAGATCTTTAAGGAAAGAATTCTGGTAAGCTGATTTGCTGCGTCATCATTTAAAAAATAAATAATCATTCAAGTCAGGGTTGGAACTAGAACAACATTCCAAAAAAGTTAAAAAAACAAGTTTGAAGCCATTTCGCTTACCATCTAGGAAACTTTTCAATTCAAAATGTGACATTTTGAATTGACATTTTCAAAATTTGACATTTTGAATTGCAGCAAAACAAACTTGTTTTTTAACTTTTTTGGAATGACTATGACATGGATGACTGAGAATCTTCACCAGCAACTAGACTTACCATTATCTGGAATATTTGTACTAGAAATCGACCCATAAAGGTTATTTTGACATCAGTGGACCTGACCCCCAATACTGTTGCAGATTTTTCAGGTTGTTATAGTAAAAATGACAGTGCTAAAAAAAACAAAAAACAAAAAAAAAAGGTTCAAGTCCCTATTTAAACAAAAAAAAATTATAGCAAATCAAACAAACATAAAGGGATCAACAATACATGCATTTCATATGATCTCAATGCACGGCTGCTTAAGGTACCACTGAATCAACGCGTGCCGGCCAATCATTACAAAAAAGAAAATGTATGAACAGCTGAAAATATCAGCCTGTTGATGTAAAGGACTGACTCTGATCTGCATCCATCAGTTTTCGGAGTTCAGTTTAATTAATCATAAAAAAACAAAAGGGTTTCCTCAGTACTGCTCACAGAGCCATACATATTAAGGCAGAAAGTTTAACAGTTCTATCTGGTTCCGACACCTTCAGAGAAAACCAACACACCTTTATTGATAAACTTGCGTTTACTTCTGGGTAAAAACAATAATTTTAGTTACACAAAACTCAGTGGAAACTAAAAGAACCCTCTTTGGTTTGGGTTAAGCCAGTTCACGTCCTAAAAAGCTTCAATTTATATCTGGTAACATATTATTCAACCTAGATCAATCCTATTATATGGTCAATTTCAGATCCAGTTTCACACATTCTATTATTTCAATTTCAATTCAGTTTATTTATATAGCGCCAAATTCACAACACATGTCATCTCAAGGCACTTTACAGTTCAACCAGATCATACAGTCAAATTGATACAAAGTTTTCTATCTAAGGAAAACCAGTTGATTGCATTGACTCATTGACTCAAATACAATCCCCCACACTAAGCATGCTTGTAGCGACAGTGGAGAGGAAAAACTCCCTTTTAACAGGAAGAAACCTCCAGCAGAACCAGGCTCAGTGTGAGCGGCCATCTGCCGAGGCCGACTGGGGTTCAAGGAGACAGAAGCAGAGATACAAAAAGCAGCTGTAAAAGGCGGCCCCGTCCAGGAAACACACAGCCAGGCAGACGAGCTCCAAGGCAGCTCCCATGCCAGAGGACGAAGAGAGCACATCCACTCAGTCACAGTCAGAGAAACAGGACCACACTGGAAAACAGGCCGATCTCCAACATCTATTAACAAGGGTGTTGATAGAAGCAGCACAGCTGATGTTTCTTTCCAGGATGAAGTCACAGCCAAACAGGAACAGACGAGGCAAAGCTACTCTGAGGAAAAGCAGAGAGAGCAGAAGGTTAGAGATTGAACTAACAGATTCTGTAGAATAGGAGAACAGAGAGAGAATGAAGCAGAATGATGAAATGGGGGTCCCTATGTCCTCCAAAAGTCTAAGCCTATAGCAGCATAACTATAGAGATAGCTCAGGATAACCTGAGCCACCCTAACTATAAGCTTTATCAAAAAGGAAAGTTTTAAGCCTAGCCTTAAAAGTAGACAGGGTGTCTGCCTCACGGACTAAAACTGGTAGTTGGTTCCACAGGAGAGGAGCCTGATAACTAAAAGATCTGCCTCCCATTCTACTTTTAGAAATTCTAGGAACCACTAGTAAACTTGCAGATTGAGAGCGAAGTGCTCTGTTAGGAACATAAGGAACAATCAGATCTCTGATATAAGATGGAGCTTGGCCATTTAAGGCTTTATATGTGAGAAGGAGGATTTTAAATTCTATTCTTGATTTAACAGGAAGCCAATGAAGAGAAGCCAGGATAGGCGAGATATGATCTCTCTTTTTAATTTTCATTAGAACTCTGGCTGCAGCATTTTGGATCAGCTGAAGGCTTTTAACTACAGTTTGTGGACTTCCTGATAGTAAAGAATTACAATAGTCCAGCCTTGAAGTAACAAATGCATGGACTAGTTTCTCAGCATCACCCCTGGACAGGATATTTCTAATTTTTGCAATGTTCCTCAGATGAAATAAGGAAATTCTAGAAACCTCTTTGATATGGGATTTAAATGACAGGTCCTGATCAAAAATAACACCAAGATTTTTTACTTTATTATCTGAAATCAGTTTAATCCCATCCAAATGAAGTGACTGGCTAATCAGTTTCTTTTTCAGAGACTCTGGTCCAAAGACTATAACTTCTGTTTTGTCTGCATTCAGAACCAGAAAGTTAAGAGTCATCCAGGTTTTTATGTCTTCAAGACATGCCTGTAATCTATGTAATGGGTTAGCTTCATCTGGATTTATAGACAGATATAGCTGGGTATCATCAGCGTAACAGTGGAAATTAATCCCATGCTGTCTAATAACTCTACCAATTGGGAGCATGTATAAAGTAAAGAGAATTGGTCCTAGCACTGATCCCTGTGGTACTCCACAGTAGGGCTGAAACGATTCATCGAGTAACTCGAGTAACTCGATTACAAAAAATCCTCGAGGAAATTTATCTGCCTCGAAGCTTCGCTAAATTTATTGTATTGTAATAAGCAATGCTGTTAAATACGCAGCACACTGGTCTAGCCGGAGGGTTTCTGTGTTGCACAACGCTACCACTTCCGTTAGCGCCTGGCGCGCTTGTGCTAAGCTTGTAGCTATGGAGGGAACCGGAGAAAGCTCAGAAGGAGAACCCCGAAAGCGACAAAAAATGTCCAAAGTTTGGGAACATTTTAGGCTAAACAGAAAGGACAACACAGCGCAATGCATCCACTGCAAAGCAGAATTGGCGTACCACAACAGCACGACATCAATGTTGCAGCATCTGAAGAGAAAACACCCGCTACATGCATCCAACTCGTACACGGTTGCCAACGTAACGTTTATGTTCTCTTTGCTAACTACGTTGTGTGATAATCTGCCATGTTATAGATGTAAATTGAGGCACACTATTTTGCTAACGTTACATCTAAACATTGCGGTTACTTAACCGGGTGTAGTGTAAATTGTATGTGAGGGTGGAACTGAGAGAAATTATGCAGGACTTAATGTAAGTTTGTTAATAAAAATACGCAGCAACAGATTACAGGCATAAGCTGAAAAGCATTTATTTATTGGTGTCTTTCCATCCTGAAAAGTTACAGTCTTTTCTTCTCGCTACTGTTATGTATGAATTAGAAATTTTTGATTAATATTTTTTGTAGTAATTCTATATTTGTTTATACCTAAGCAATCAAGAATAAATAATAGCATCGTTTTAATAAAAATAGCAACATTTTTGCATTTTATCATGACTAGTTAAGGCTGCAGAACTCTGTACAAACTCAAACCTTTACATTTAGACATTTTTATAAGCATATTTATGAGCCTGCCACTTTATTATTTGAATATAATTTAATATCTTATAACTTTTCTTCAGGTTAAAGCAAACTACTGTTACAAGTAAACTTTCTAAACTACAAACATTTAACTGTTAGGGATGCTCAAAAAGGAGATATTGGACTGATCTGGACTAACTGGTGTTATTGCAGATTTGCCAATAGTTTATTTTATAAATTTTTTTTATCCGATTACTCGATTAATCGTAAGAATAATCGATAGATTACTCGATTACTAAAATATTCGTTTACAACAGCCCTACTCCACAGGTAACCTTTGAGCGTGTTGAAGATCTATCATTAACATGAACAAACTGAATTCGATCAGATAGATAAGATTTAAACCAGTCTAGTGCTGTTCCTTTAATTCCAACAAAATATTCAAGTCTTTCTAAAAGAATATTATGGTCAACTGTATCAAATGCAGCACTAAGATCCAACAGGACGAGCACAGATACAAGTCCATTATCTGAGGCCATGAGAATATCATTAGTGACTTTCACCAGAGCTGTTTCAGTGCTATGATGAGCTCTAAAGCCAGACTGAAACTCTTCAAAAAGTTCATTATGGTGGAAGTGATCGCAAACTTGTTTGGCAACTACTTTCTCAAGAATTTTGGATAAGAAAGGAAGATTGGATATAGGTCTATAATTGACCAAGTCATCTGGGTCAAGAGACGGTTTCTTAAGCAGAGGTTTAATTACAGCAACCTTAAAAGCTTTAGGTACATATCCCTGTAACAGAGATAGATTAATCACATCTAAAATGGAGGAGGAGATCAAAGGGAATACCTCCTTAAATAACCTGGTTGGAACTGGATCTAACATACAAGTTGAAGGCTTAGATGAAGACAATAATTTTGCTAATTCAGAGAGTTCAACTGGATCAAAGCAGTCTAAACCCGGTTCAGATTCCATGACTACCTCAGGTACAATCGCGGATAGAGGAGTGCTTATGATCTTATTTTTAATAAGATCAATCTTATTTATAAAGAATCCCATAAAATCATTGCTGCTAAGAGCAGGTGGATTGGACGGTTCAACAGAGCTATGGCTCTGGGTGAGTTTGGCAACTGTATTAAAAATAAATCTAGGATTATTCTT